GATATTGTTTCTATGAAAAACTGTACAATATCTATGACTCACAATCCTTATTTAAAATCTTATAATAGTACCATTTAATGGTAAATGCGTAAAACTCGTGCTATGCCGTAATATTAACCGTTTACTAAAGTTGCTAATAAATTCAAATTTTTCTCTTTTCTCTCTCTTTTACAATCTCGTTTCCTCTATCTCTCTATCTCTCTTTCTCTCGTGCGCCTGCTTCCCTTTTTCTTCATCCTCTCTTATTGCTTTTTCCTGTCTTTTTCTCTTCTCATTTTTGTCATTTTTTCTTTTCTTCTTTTTTAATTTATTTGCCTTCCTTGTGTTTTTCCATTCCAATTTTTTTCCTTCCATCTTCCATCTCTTCTCTTTTTATTTTTCATCTTTTCCATTTCTTCATTTCTTCTCTATAAGCTTTTTTACCCTTTCTCTTTTTCCTTACATCCTTTCCTTTTCTCGTATCTTTATATTTTCTCTCTTTTTTTCTCCTTATTTCTCCTGTCTCTTAATTCTTTCGTTTCGCTCTTATTCCATTCACGTACTCTTCCTTTCTTTCTTCTAGCAAGAAAACATACGTATATTTACATATGTATGTGTGTGTGTGTGTGTGTGTTTGTGTGTGTGTATTTGAACAAATAAGATAGGTATAAATCACTGTAATCAGTATTTATTTGTAAATCCATTTTAGATTTTAGTGAAATTATTATACATATATATCACATGATAGGCTTTTTAAACATGATTACTTACCTACTCTTGCAAAATAAAACTATGAACGGTCTGATACAATAATCATTTTTTTCCAATCTTTTATTCATCGATGTTTTAAAATCGTATCCCGCTAGAAATAATTAGTTAAATCAACGTCGATTGACTAATCATTTATAGCTGGGTATGTGGAATATTTCGCATATACATATGTATAATAAATGATACAAAAATTATGTCTCTCTGTGATCTGAGTATGTATTCATCGTTTAGTAGTTTCATATACATGTTTGGAAAAAATAATATACATATATGCGTTAATATATGCAACGACATTGTTGTAACCATGAAAGAGAGTTCACTTTCCACTCGTCTACTTTCTCTAACGACCATCTGTCGCTTGATTCCTTGGATTTTCTCTTGTATATACACGTGCGGTCATCACATAACTAGAATATATTTATAGCGCATTGTTTCAAAAACATACAAAAAATTGAGTTTTTATCAGAAATTTGGATTTCGAAGCTAATCACATCATTAATGAATAAAAAATTTAATATTTTTACTAATTCGTTGAATATTAATTTTTAAAGATTCTTCATCAAATCTCTTTAAAAAATGCCGAGCAATCGATATTTTAGATCTGTTTAAAAAAATTAAATTTGTTAATATCATTATAGTTTTAATCATTGTTGACGAAATAATGCGAAAGTCAGAACGTGTTTTCTGCTCAAGAAACTGCCAAGTAATCGAGAGAAAGGTGCGATTTAATCAACAAGTAATTGCATGATCGTCAAACCGTTAATCCTACAACACTATTACATCGTATTCTACCAACATAGAGATAAATAGTTCGTTTTTTCGTAACCTCTTAACATCCATTTAGCTTAACATCAACTATTTTTTCATTTAGTTATTAATAGTTATTCATTTTGTGATATATATTTTTTACATTTTATCTTTTTGATTATTTTTGGAAATTATAATTGATATAAATTACGAATAAATAATAAGAATCGAATAAATCTTATAAAAATTTCTTAATGCAAAAATGCATATGATTTATTGTCTACTTTATGATTTATTGAGTTTGAAAATAAAATCTGTATGATGCAAATCGATTATTATAGAGTAGAATGTGAGTAATAATACATATATCATTAATCGATCTGTACTCGAACAGTCGAAGCGTAAAACAGATTTCACTTTATTTTTGAAAATTAACTTTCTGTTGGACTAGCTATCATGACAACAAGCTATCATCAACTATTTGCATTATGTAAGCATTCCTTTCTCTTTGTTTTTTTTATTCCTTGCATTAATTATATTTCATGAAACTGAATAAATACAGTCGAAATGAAATAAATACAACCGAAATTAAAAATATAGACATAAAACGGTAAATTTTATAAATTCCAATCCTCTTTCATCTGTTTTCTGACTATTAGTGTTCAATTTTCTACAGTATTTAAGATATTAATTACTTACAGTATCTATAATATAATATCTTTAGCTCACATTCAAACAAGAATCTCGAGTGTGTTCTACATATTCAGTTTGAATGATAAGCTATCCTTGAGTTAGCTTTAGGACATTGTTAAAAAGCTTATCTTCTTGAATATAGTCGTTAATGATGGTCATTCTCTGACTGTGCCATGATAACAATAAATATAGGTACGCACAATGTACATTCATTTTTAAAACTTTTTTAAGTTATCGTTGAAATATTGCTATAAAATGTAACTTACACGTATAATGAAGCTGATTTAGACTGTAACTAATTAGCTGATTAATCAAAAGATGAATTTGTTATGCATTATGAATTTATTATGCTTTATATATATGTGAGATTTATGAGGCAAAGTTTGTATTCTGATAAGGGTATAATCTTATATCTCTTATGTAATAAAAAATTATACAAAAAACGAATAAAAGTAACATTTTAGATTTACATACATACACACACACACACACACACACACACACACACACACACACACATACACAATATATATATATATATATATGAGATGCAGATGAGTGTATTTTCAAGTATAGCATGTGAGCAATTAATATAAATAAAATATCTCCACGCGCGTTCTTGCATATGTGTTCAATATATTTCAACATGTTGAACGATGTAATAAGTGCTACGCTTTGTAAAAAAACAAGTCAAAAGCTAATAATGTCCGAAGTCAATCCTCTGTAAAAAAGTAAGTGATTGATGACAGGAAAGGCTGGTTCTCCTAAAAGCATATTGTGGAAGATAAAACTTGCTCAACTGGCTTCTTGGCTGCGATGGTATTTATAATGAAACATGACAAATCTCTCTCTCTCTCTCTCTCTCTCTCTCTCCTTTCCCCCTTCTCTCTCCCTTCTTCTTCCCTCTCCCTATTTCTTTCTCCCTTTCCGTTCCCTCCAGATCCATTCGCCATCGTTCCCTCTTTCTTCTCCCTACCCTCCCACTAACACTGTCAGAGCTCGTTATCTAGGCCAACAGATGCAGGTATTATTCACACGATGCCGAGTATTTCTAAAACAAACTCGAATCCGGAGCGATAAATAAACAGGCCGTATTTAATGTTATCGTTTGAAGATCTCATAAAACATATCTCTGTCACGATTGCGTCGAGAAGAAGATATTTTCTTTCGCCTTTCGTTTCTTCCTTTACTGAAGGAGATTTTCTGATTGAAATTTATTAGTGCTATCTTAACAGATTCTTTTTATTTTGTTGTCAATATCAAACTTAATATTCTTTTGTAATTATTTGTTTACGAGATTAAATTTCCATTGTATCGTCAGTACTGAGAATTTTCTACTGAAGGTGATTAAAATTTATACAAAATATATGTGCGTCAAACATTGCAATGTTCTTCGTTTTTAATTTTGTATTCTCTTTTTTCTTTTTTGTCCTTATTAAATATGTAATTTCTCCATAATTTCTTTATAACCGTTTCTGTATGTTTGTATAATACATATATAGAATAATCTTTATTTATTTAACTTATCTATCTTGTCTTTGCGACGAACTAGGATTCATGGCAAGAATTTAAACTTTTCTTCTCGCTCCTAGTAATCTGTTCCAAACAAAATTCAAGTAGGTATCTGCCAACTATAAAGCGTTTAAATCAAATGGTTTTGTTATCAAAAATATGTGTGATAAGAATTGAATTTCTATATCAGTTACGAAACTCATATTAAATAGCTAATGCTTCAAGTCAATGATACGACGCTTTCATCGATATACTATGGTTGAAATAAAGAAAATTAAAAGAATAAATTTATAAACTCGCAGGAAATATAAATAAAGTCTCTGTATTTGTAAACTGTAGGATAAACGGACTATGCCTTACAATGTACAGTAATATTGAAGCACATTTGCTCTTGTACTTTGAAACTCAATGACTGTGTTTACACACTCCTCGAACACATGTTGCCTTAATCGACGTAAACGATCACGTTACTAGCAGGTAGTTAAACTGAAGACTTTTCACGAACGCCACGCCAGCACAGCAAAGTCTCACGCCACGAGCGAGATAAATATTAATAATAATTCGTAACATCGCGCGAGCCAATGGATAGGCTTATTTATTCTTTCGTTTATCTCGGTGCACTTGGCACTATCGCGTATATGTTTTACTTACCGGTTATCGGAGCGTAAGTTTATAATAAATAACATATAGAATCGAAAAATGATTTTTCAATTCGAAACAGACTGCTTTATGACGCGTGATACAGCCCCCTCGTTATAATGTACGATTTTTATTGCTAAACAATGAACAGAAACTCGTTCCTCAGCCGTTAGATGCGTCATCATCGCGACTCTTTCCCTGTTCCGCGTACATTCAATTACCGCAACTCAAAGTTGGCCCGCGTTACGTCGTGAAATCACAACGTTAATAAACGGAGCATTTAGTCTGTAGATGGAAAACGCGCTATTCAAAGAGATTACAAACAGCCATCTGCCTCACCCTTCCGAGGTGCTCGTCCCCCGTTAGCCCCTCTGCAACTACCCCATGTACTCCCCTTCCTCTTCAGCCCACCTCTGCTAGATATCTCTCAGCTACCATACACTCTCGCAGTCTCGCTTATAGAATTCTTTCCTCTCCCCTCCCCTCCGCCCGCACCGCACCGCACCGCACCGCACCACGCCGCGCCGCGCCGCGCCGCGCCGCGCCGCACCGCACCGCACCGTGCCGCACCACGCGCCGCGCCACGCAATCTCTCCAACCAACACGCGCGTAGTAGTACCGTCCTCCCCTATCGCGGTACCCCACCATCGCCACCCATTGCAGCGAACCAATATACCCGGAATCACATTGCCGCGCCAACCACCGCGAGAGGAGTGTGTGTCGCTTGCCACGCTGTCATTCATCTTTTTCGGAGCGCGTTGCTATACGAATGAAATGTACTACAGTGTATAGAGGTGTCGCACACGCACCGTGTGTTTTCACTGTCTAACCTCGCGCAATCTTTTCCATTCGTTGTCCGTTGCTCAGTAGTGAGTGATATGGACTTATCCGCAGAGTGTAGTGATCGTGTGAATTCGTGAGAATTAAAAGTGTCAAGCGGAGGGATTCTAACCTATTTGCGGATACATGAATTGTTAAGTGTTTCTCTAATCGCGTTTTCCTCACGACTCGACCACTCCATTGGCGAGCGTACGTACGAGAGAGTCGCACTTAACTCATAATATATGCTGGATTTTGCGCCGGTAAGTGATCGAATTGTCATAACGTTTACTTTAGTTGATGCAATTAGCATTTATACAATCTAGAATTATATGAACAATGTGGCGGAATAAAAGGAGTCACCGCGTGCGTGCGAGTCGCACGTACAAGCGTATTTTGTAGCGAATGGTTCGTTACTGCACGTGGCGCCATCTCGAGGATCGGTGTGAAGTGCGAGGGCGTGGAATTTCCCGAGTACCCAAGGGGCGGTTTCGTAATGTAACGTTGTCTCTCTTTTCCATTTTTATTCCTTCTATTGTTTTTGCTATCAATTATCGATCCAAGTTTTTTTTCCTCGTTTACTGCAACGCGGTAAATATCGACACGACTCAACGGTTGAATTGTAAAATTTATACGAGCGATTTCTCTCTCTCTCTCTCTCTCTCTTTCCCTCTCCGCGTCCCTTCCCCTATCGTCTTTCAAATAAGCCATGATCATGATTATTAATGACACATGGAAAATATAAATTCTGCGAGTTTACATTCCAGAACATATTATATTGCACATATACATATACGATAGAATAATCAACAATGAGTCGCTCGATTGATCGCTTACGGCCATCGTAAATCTTTATCAGGTAAATTTAACTTAGACGTGTTTATCGGATCTTTCTGTTGTGTAAACAGAGTCACGTATTTAATCGCTTTATGCTCAAGGCGAACGCAGCGAATTAATCGCTCCAGCGATTGTAGCCAATAGCGATTACATCATTGATCGTGAGATTGCGCAGAGCACTAATTCTTAATAGCAGATAATAATAGTCGTCGAGAAGATGGGTCGTGAATGATTTATAATCTGTCTTCGTTAATTAGGACTAAGTAAGGATTAAGTATACTCGAAATAATATATCTCGCGCGACATATGTTTGCTACGAAACAAGTGCAGGATGTGCAAGACTGTTTAACAGTCATCCTATTAAAATCTGCTTATAAAAAAATACTTTGCCTTTTTATACTTTATACTGGTAAACGAATCGCTGATTGGAAATGGCTTAATTAGTAAAACTTGGCGCTGCTATCTTACCGATACGTATAATAAACACTCGCAATAGCCTTGTAGCGGTATAAATTACAATGTAACGCTGACGCAAATTAAACTCGCGCGTTTCGCATTATTCTAATGAATTGCATCGAAACGAATGTGCTATTTTATCGCATCATCGAGAACGTACTCGTACACGTATAAAATAAAAACAACGATAAAATAAATTTTCATGTTGCAGATAAACGTGTAAATCGATCAAGCTCCAAGTAATTTCATATACATGGAAAAATTAGTTTCTATTAAAAGTTTTCTCAACCATCCATTATTTATGTTTATTTCCATAAGCCACGTTCATATAATGTGTATAATTTGTATATGTTGCAGTACTTTTCAAATAAAAATAATAATTTTTTAATAACATTCACTATTTTGAGTTTTACCTAGAAATGATGGAAACTTATAAATTTTAAAATGAAATGAATGACGGTACCTCGTTATTCTATAACGAGATTGAAACGAGAGTAATTTTGAATTCTCAGGCAATTTGTGGTCTTATTCTTGCGGTGTGTGTTACCAGCTGAAAAACGAGAATATTCGTTTTGCGTGTTCAAAAGGATGTTATTTATTTCTGAGATCTTTCTTTTTACACATACACACATATCTTACGATTAAAAAATTGTCTGTAAAATAACATTTTTTAATGAGGTCACAAATGTATTTGTATTAATGTAACATTGTGTCTTTACTATTGTTTCCTTTTTGAAAAAGCAGCGGCTAGATACAATTTGCAGAAGTGAGTCTTATGTAATTCACATTAATGTGCTATTTTCGAAAGACAGAATTCGTATGCCTTTCCTTGTTTCATAACAAAAATATAAATTCAATAAAAGTAGTAATTTGCCGATTACATGATGTCCATTCGAACCATATATTGATTTCGCTTTTGAAAGTGCTTTTGAAAATTGGAATATCATTAATTATATTAGTAATATGTCGGTTGACTTTAAAAAGAAAATCTGCTTTTTTCGTTCCTTAAAGTTTTTATTTTTGAGAAAGCTATATCAAATCCCAACGAGAAAGCTAAGAGGATAAAAAACTAAATTGTAGCGGATTTAACGTCATTACAAGTGAAAAGTCCATTGAAGCGCATCTGTCAAGATGTTTATACCTGTTTTCGTCTTTCTGCATACTTTGTTTATCTTTGAGGAATCTTTTTAAGCGTATTTTTACGTTTATTATTTAAATTTATTTTATAACAAATTATTACTGATTAAGTAACATTGATCAGCTTTATAATACAACGTTGATTATTCCAGGAATACATGTGTTCGCCCTCGAATATTGTATTGATTTGTAACATAATGACATTTATGTCGTTCGACTAATTTCATTGACAGATGTGTATGTGTACATATATGACTGTAGGAATATGCTGTGCATATTGACGAGATTAATGTTTGTCACTGAAATAACTATTTAGAAATTATTAATTAAAAATAAGATTAAATTTATTAATAGCCGTACAGAGTTTGCTGTTGCATTGACAAAGTCTTTTCTTAACCAAATTCGAATCTGAAACGACTGTTAACTTTTTAAATTCCTGAATTTTTTTGTCACGTATACGCCTGAAATTGGGACTGATAAATATTCATCGCCGATGCCTGTTTAATGCTGCCGATGAAAAATAGCAGTTTTAAATAGCATATTTTTTACATGGCCATTTAGCGTCTCGTTTGTTATTCCATTACGTGGCATTTATCGTTGCATAAAAGACTGCCATCGAAAGAGCGTATCCATTCCACGATGGATGTTTCAAAGGATAGATGGTTCTATTGTTCTCAACATTATGCGTCGCACACAGTCGTTACTCGGACAGATACATAGTCTGTATTCGTATTCCAATGGAACGTCCAATATAATGATGATAAATAAATGATCATGCTAGGTATGTTATTTTGAAAAGTTAAATAATTTCATTATATCGATAATATCAAACAATAATGGAGATTAAATCAATTAAGCGAAAGTAACTGGATTGCCTTAGTAATGATATTGTAAGAATTGGAGAGCTTATTCTTTTTTATATACGATAACAATATTTTTTAGATTAGTTATTTACTTTCTAAATGTTGTTTGCTTTCTACTCAAGGTTATAGATTTCAATCTTTGATAGCATATCTTGTAATTGTTAATTGCAAAATTAACAATAATATGATGTATTGCTCTTTGGGGAACAAAGATTCTTGCTCCGAAATTGCATTACAAGCGATAATAATTGCGTACTATCACTGTCAACGCAATGTCTATCATCAAATGTTAATCCTGCTATGCTCGTTAATTAGAAAATGTGCGGTCGTATGAGATAAACTAGCAAGATATCTCGAGTAACGTCACACATAGCACGATTAATAATGTAACGAATGTATGCATTTTCATTATAATACGTCTTGCTTCTAATTGCATATACCAATCGAGATGCTATCTATGATTAGCCCGAAGCACAACATTCCGGCTCTTAATTTTATTTTTTTTCCGTCTTGTTCGTGCACGTATACGTTTGCGTTTCTACGAATAGTTGTTTGTCGATCATCGCATTCAAATTGCAAGTTTACAATTCAAAAATTATCTTTGTGTTCAATGTTCATGTTTCCGAGTTCAGAAGTCACGTAACGCTAGCTGGTATTCAACGCAGTGTATATCGAGCATGTTACATTATATTATTCGAATGATATCGCTAGTAAATTATCGGAATATTATTTGAGTTCTTAAATAACAAATTATCATGTATATTATGATTTCTCACGGCAATAGCGAGTAATTAATAAAGTAATGACAATGTGCGCCAAGTGGATTAATTCAAATATTCAAATATGTAGAATGTAGATCGCTGACGATTGATGCCAGCATCGAATTTACGCGACTTGGGTTTATGCATTTATTCCAGTTTTAAAGTACGAGGAATAACCTTTCTGAAAGGAATAAAAAGTTTGAAATCTCAAGAGAACAAGTTCTATCTTTCTTTTCTATTATCTATTTTTCTACCGTAGAGTTTCTCGTATGAAGAGAATATGAGAAAAGAAAGAACGGTAATGAAACAATAATATATCGTCAAATCCAGAAATATTTTGGTTTATTTTTACGTATTATAATTAAAAAGATAAGTATTCGACTTGTAATTATTACATTGCACGGGTTTTGAAAATATGAGTAGGATGAAGCGTGTTTCGTTGACGAAAATTCGTTTCGAAACGAATCGTTTACGACGTTAGAAACTGGTCTTGAATCTCACCATCTGGAACACGAGTGCCCCTTAACCACCTTTCCCCTCCTGCGGCATGCAGTATAACGATTTCGAAGTAAGCAATGGACAGGTGCAGATATAGATCGATTCTGCATTCAACATTTTATCAATCAATTACTTGATTTTGTTATTACCGTCGCTATGCCTCTTTATTATTTAACCACTTAATTACATAGATATAAACATCAAGCTACTTTTATGAATGTTTATTTTTTTTTACGCGGAAATTGCTTATATATATTCGAAAGAAAGTAAAAAAGCAATATCGGAATAACAATCCTATCTAAAAAAGGCATGTTAAGTCGAAATTGAAATGTATCATTGTTCTCGAAGTTTCTGTTGACTCTTTTCCGCGACGCTGATTGGTTCTCTCGCTGCACTAACTTCGTGAGCGACTATTATTACATTGACTTTTGACAGTTGTATGTATTGAAGTTGATGTATAATTATAGTCAAATATAATAAAAAAGTAAAAGTGCAGTCAAATAGCGTGCGTCTGTAGTGCTAAAAGAAAAAAAAGAAAGCATTCATACTTAATATGTGTTTTATGTAATAAAATTTAACTCTTTTAACTGAATATTACACTAGTGAATATGAAGTCCTTATAGGGACTCCCTACTTTTAGATATAAAGAAAAGGAAAAAAATTATTGCTTTTTGCTCTTTACATGTTACTTTCTTATATTTTTATTGATTT